CTTTCGTTCCTTCTCTCTACTGTCTCGCTCTCTTTCCTCCTTCTGTAGCCCAACTCTAGTGAGAAGGGGTTTAAAGTTTAAACCCCTTCTCTCTTTGCTCCCCCCCCCCGGGAAGGGAAGGGGAGGCTTTTGAAGATGCCTCCCCCCCTTTTGCTTCCTCTTCTGACATCACTTCCGGTGATGTCAGGGGGTGTTGCATATGCTAATGAGCTATTATGCTAATAGCCTAGTAGCTCATTAGCATACCGTATGCTAATGAGCTCCTGCAGCTCTTTTTCTACAAAAAGACCCCTGGTTATGAGGACATTACTGCAAATTGATTCGGACACAATTTTTTCTCTCTCTGTGAGTATTGACTTTTTCAGTATGCAGTGTGGGAATAAAATGAAATTCATTTGATTGTATCCAGCATGTGGTGAGGGCAGAGAGCATGATATAGCGTGATCTCATCATATCTCAGAAGTTAAGCACATTCAGTACTTGGAGGAAGTAGGGTTGGCAGGTCCTACCTGTATGCCGGTGTGTGTGTGTGTGGGTTCCTGGCTTCCTTCCTGGGTTTTCTGTTGCGTGTGTATAGCATGTGTGCCACGATGATGTCACCTGGAAATGATATCATTGCTCTGGGCATGTTCTACAGGGGACGCTCTGGCATTCAGCTAAAAACTCGATGGTCACCATAGTGTTTTTTGCCGAATGCCAGAGCATCCCCCCGTGTGACATGCCCAGTGTGATGACATCACCTCTGGGTGACATCATCGTGCCAGGCATGTCATGCGCGGTGGGGCTCCCCCCACCAGACAGCTAGCTGGTGGTGGACTGGGTTCCCAAAATCTGCAGAGGAAAGCAATGACAAACCACTCCTGCTTCTCACATGCCTTGGAAGCCCTTACTGGTGTTGCCACAAGTCAGCTACAACCTGATGGCACTTTACACATAAAAATCCAGCATGCCCATGTATTCAACAGTGGAGACTTCTACATGGTGACTTTTCCTTCCATGGGAAGCTGAAACCCCCGAATTAAAGGGGAACGGCCACATGATGCCATGCTCTTTCTACACATAACTCATGGTGCAAAAACAAAACCTATTTTTCTCTGGTTTTCTCTGGGTGGAAGGGAGCATCCCAGAAGTGGGGGGTGGGGTGGGACAACATCACTATGGTTATGATAGAGTTTTGCCGAAAATACCAGAGTGTTGCCGTGTGACATCCCCAACGTGACAATGTCCCTTCTGTGTGATGTGATCATGCTGGGGATGTTGTGCTTGGCCATGGCTGTTGGGGGTGGGGTTCCCCCCACTGGTCACCTGGCCTGCAGAGGGCTGGAGCCCATGAAATTGGGAGATCCCCTACTCCCACCTGGGGGCTGGCAACCCTAGCATAAACATAATGAAGATGATACTCAGGTTTACATAAATTTTGTATTGTAAATTATGAATTTGAGATTCTGGGCACAAACAAATCATCCGGATCATGGTTAATTATTTACATGTGTGTTCTTAAAAGACTTTTGTAAAAATACCAATTCTTTTTTTCTACAACAGGAACCGCTCCAACTGATCATCCTCAGGTCCCTGGAAGATGCCCTGAACCCCAACAAGAAAGCTCTACAGCTTGGATTCCATTCCGTGCTCATTGCTATACAATCATACGTGATTGGACGTCCTGGCCTTGGGCATCCACGAAATGCTCTCAGTTAGGTGGGTGTCCTTTTGAACTAGGACATAACAATGTGAGCTCTAAATAGTGTGTTGACAGCTTCCACTTTCTTATTATCAGGTGAGAAAACTCTACTTCTAGTGAAAAACGAATTTGGCTTAATCCACCAGAATTTTACATTGAAGATTTTTCCTTTGGCAAATTACAGTGAACAGAAAAAAAGAAGTGCCTTTCACCTTACACACACACACACTTTTCCTACTTCCAGAATGTAAACATAGGGAATTCGCAGCATAAAAAGAATGATGGGAGAAGCCAATTTAAGTGCAGTTGTTTTTTTCTCACACTATGAATTCCTCCTTACATCTTATTGTTTACCCTGCTTTTCCTTCTTTCATTCTCTGTAACTCTCTGAATGAAATATATAATTTATATTTCAATAGAAACAATTGCATCATAGTAAATTGTTGATGATATAACCTATTCTAGTTTAGCAATGCTACTTTAGTAACATTAGAGAGATTGGCACAGCAAACATTATACCAAAAGTACATTATTCTTTGCCTTATATTTTTGATGATTTCCCTCCTATACACATCAATATAGAAACTTTTTGACAGAAGAGATTTTTGATGTGTCTACTACCAAATTCGTATGTGCTGGACCCAAAGAGCTCAGGATGCGTTCAACCTATGGGACTTGGTTCTTTCCATTCTAAGCACAATGCAAAGAGCTCAAGTCATTTGAAAAGCATGCAACCTGTGAATGCTGTTTCTGTATGATATTAAATTGTCTGGTTTAAAAAAAATTATGGTACAAAAACACAAACCTGAAATGATTTTTTTCCTCCAAATCAGGAATTTCTGCAATTTAGCTTATCAAACTGCTTTGAGTCTGCTTTTGGTGAAAGATGAGATAAAATGATTTAAATCAAAAAATCAATCTTGCCTCTGCTGTAAACACAGTAGCTGGCTATAGGCAAGGCATACTTTCTCCGCCTCCATTCTTCATTCAGCCCGTTCACAGGATGGGCAGGATACAAATACAAATACAAAAAATAAATACATGACTATAGCAAGAGTAGATATGTGAAGCACCTCAAAAGGGCAATAAAATGCTAAGCATATTATTGTTATAAAATGAAGTTATAAGAATCTGTTCCTAAAGATTTGAAAAAATACATTTATTTGTAATATTTACAGGCTGCCTTATTGCCTAGCAATAGGCCTTCAAAGTGGCTTACAGTAAAGAAAAGATGAGACAATAAATGTTATAGGACTTTTAAAAACAACAACAACAACAGTGGGCATCATGAAAACCCTGGAGGGGCTGATGGTATGTCATCTCCTCGCTCCACTCTGCACAGGTTCTCGAGGCAGCAGGTGCTCTCTGAATAGTGTCTACCTACCTTGACCTGGTTAGCCCAGGCTAGCCTCATCAGATCTCAGAAGCAAAGGAGGGCTGGCCCTGGTTAATATTTGGATGGGAGACCAGCCAGGAGAAGACTCTTGAGAGTCCCTTGGACTGCAAGAAGATCAAATCAGTCAATCCTAAAAGAGAACAACCCTGACTGTTCCCTGGAAGGCCAGATAATGAAACTGAAGCTCAAATACTTTGACCACCAAATGAGAAGGGAGAACTCACTGGAGAAGACCCTGATGCTGGGAAAGATTGAAGGTCAAAGAAGACAGGGATGGCAAAGGATGAGATTGTTAGACAGTGTCATAGATGCAACGAACATGAAATTGAGCAAACTTCAGAGGACGGCGGAAGACAGGAGGGCCTGGCGGGATCTGGTCCATGGGGTTGCAAAGAGTCGGACTCGACTGTGCGACTGAACAACAACAAACCAGCCAGGAAGTCCAGGGTTGCTACGCAGAGGCAGGGAATGGCAAACCACCTCTGAACATCTCTTGCCTGGAAAACCCTACAGGGTCACCATAAGTCAGATGTAACTTGATGGCATTTTCCATCACAAGTAATCATGCCCAAGGAGTGCCATATTTTGGTGATTATAGAACAGGCTTGTGTGAAACTGCCTTTTTCATTAAAAATAACTTTCCATAAAAAGGCAACATTTAAATGGTATTTTTTTCTACTTGATGTTTTCTAGGTGGTTCTTTGACTTCAATAGAAGATTCAGCTGAAATGAAGTTTCTGAAAGAGTACATGCAGCACCTTGATCAAGGAAAATTTTGGATAGGATTGTTACAAAATGTGGATGGTAACCATTTAAGCTTCACTATTTATTAATAAACTTTCAGGGTTGGATATTGAGTAAAGCTTCCACAGCAGTAAGGACTTATATTTGCAGAGAGCATTTTTACCACTTCAGTCTTCCCATGGGAGCCTGAAATGTCCCCTGAGGAACAGGACTGGGGGGGGGGGGCGTTTCACACTCCCACAGGAGGGGGAGGCAGGAAAATCACACTGCATAAACAGTCTGCACTGTCATTTTTGTCACTCGTTTTCCCCCTGTTGCTTCAGGGTTTTTCCCCCCCTTAATGTGTTTTGCTTTCTCTAGTAGTCCCAGGGGGAGCAAAACATATGTGGAAAGGGGGGGGGGAAGCAACAGGGGGAAATGAATGACAAAAGTGACAGTGCGGAAGTGGCCCTTGTTTCCACATAAATACTAGTCACAATACAAGCTGCAGCACACTAAAAAAAAAGACACATAGTAAATATCTGGCAAGAAATAAGAGAAAATCTTTGAAAGACTGTTCTAAATACAGAGAGTAAATGAACTAGAAGACTGCTTTGGTCTAGTGGTCCGGAAATGTACTTTAATTAAGAGTCTAATTAGCATGAAAGAATTTTGGCATCTAACTAGAAAATAGCCTTTCAATAACATGTTTAGTTAGTAAGTCTCATTGAACATAGATGGACATAGCCCTGCGCTTTGCCAAGTTTGGAGTCCTCCAATCACAGAAATACTTAAATAGTTCTGCAGGAATCATATCTTCCCCTGGCACCTTGCCAGATGGAAGGGAGGCAATCGGAACTCTGATCTCAGAAACCGATAAAAGAGGATATTCGGGCAAGGTAGATAGATCAGCCTGCTTCGTGGCCCCATTAGCAGAAGCAAAATTGGTTCCAAAGATCTGACTGAACTGTGTGTGTGCCAGTATTTGGTGGAGACCTGGGCCTCCAACAGAGTGGAGACTTTATTCAGGCATGTGGAGACTAGGTCCCAGAACTGGGATTCTCTTCTCTCTAAGATGGCCAGACCCAGCTCCTGGCACTGAAGTCTGGCCAAAGAAAACCCCTAATTTTGCTTTAAAAACTTCTTGTAGGTTAACCTTAGAGATATATGGGTGGTGAAAGAGGATCCACTTTCATGGTTATGCACCTGTCATTTGGACGGGACAATCTCCTTCCTAGCTGCTCTGCAGTCTTGGTCAAACCAGCCTGCAGAAGGATGTATTTTAGTTTTTAAAAGTCTATCACTAGAAAGAAAAGGTCTGAGACTACCTCTGGTTACACATACAGAACACCAGACTCCTAAACATTTCCTTTCTGGCAGGTTTATTTTTAATCTTTAAAAAAAATCAAAATCAAAACATATTTCCTCCTCTTAGGCAACTAGTTAGTGGGGTGAGATATAAAACTTTGCAAGGCCTTCTAGATAACAAGTTCCATTGACAGTGAAACTTATACACAAGAAAGCAAACTTTCAGCCTTAGACTGATGCACCAGACTCCATTTATTAAATAAACTTATCTCAAGGGACCTAGACGTCACCGTCATTTTTTAAAATCATTTTCACTGAAGTCTTTTTAAAGACTCTTCAGGTAAAATAATAGCAATTATAATGTTAATGCTTTATTTTTTCATTTTATCCAATGAAAGACCATTCAATATGAAAAAGAGCCACTGTAGCTTTATAATACTATTCTGTCCATAAATGTGCTACTCTTTATGTTTTCAGTCATTAAGAAGTACATTTCTTTATACCATTAGGGGAATGGTTATGGCAAGATGGCACTGCAGTAGATTTTGTCAACTGGGATACTGGAGAGCCCCGAAATGGAAGTGAAGCAGAATATAATCCATCATTAAATATATTGTGTGCTGAAGTGAGCAATGATCATGGGAAGTGGTCTGTTTTAAAATGCCATTATCATTGCAATGGATATATTTGTAAAACTCCCAAAAGTAAGTCTCAAATATTTACCATCAATATAAGTAATTCGCAATGTGGCTGAAACTGTGGATACTTAAAACCTGAGACTGGAATCATGAACAGATAAGACATCATTCTACAAACCTGAATAGGCTCTACCTTTGCAGAAAATTCTGTAATCTGCAAAAAAAAAAAAAAACCTTAACCCCCCCCCCCATAATAGAAGAAGCACTTCTAGCTTTAAGAAACAAATGTCCTCAGCTTCTTTGCTAAGCAGCCACCACATTATTGCCTGGATGACCTTGGGCCAGTAACATACACTCAGCCTCATCTACCTCATAGGGTGGTTGTGAAAATGGAAGAGAGGAGACTGATGTAAGCTGCTTTAGTTAACCAATTGTGGAGAAAGGTCAGGTGTAAATTAAGTATATATACCTGATGCTGGGGGTCAAATAAAAGGTTTTCTTGGTGGGTGGGAAGGAGAGAAGGAGAGGATATGGGGGGTGGCAGGAGGAAGTAAAAAGATGATATTGTGGAGAGAGGGATATAGTGGGCAGTGAGATCCCCCCCCCTCAAGTCCCCACTGTGCAACTGGGCCCAGCCTGGTAGCTGGCATCATGCAACTGGGCAATAGTTTTCCTAGGTAGAGAGTGCCGGGGGGAAGGAAGGAAGGAAGGAGAGCTGAAGTGGGGGGGGATAACAGATAAAAATAGGTTGGATGGTGGGTGTTAAGGAGAGAAGGAAACAGAAAAAGGAGAGAGGCTGTGGAGGCTTTCAGGGAAGTGAAAGAGGCAGTCATGGGGAAGGGGGAAATAAGATGCCCACTGCAAGTACTTGAAGCTCCCTGCTTGTTATACTTAATTTACTGTGCTATCCTAAGTGCCCTCTGGCCTTGGCCACCACCCCCTATATAGGGAGTATTGCCTTGGCTCACCAATGCCAGTGGGGTGCTATTGAAGCACAAGTGTGATGCATAGGCCTTCTACTCTAACCAAATACCCTAAAGCCTAACCTCTATTCTCCCTGAGGTAGCCTGTTTTGCTTCACCCAGAATACCGAAACCTATTGTTTCCTTGTTAAAACCTGTCTCTATGTCTCTTCGTCTCTTTGCCCTATCTCAGCCATATCAGCTCCCCTTTGCAACAGTAACCCTTACATTCCAACCATCCCCACCCCCAGGCAAACTACATGGCTTACCAGACAGCAGCACTGATATGGCACAGTAGGCAACCTGGTGGTCCCTCCTCTACAAGACCGACCCCACAGCCTCCTCTCCGGGGCATTCACGGTGAAGTCAACTGAGTTTAGGAATGGGCAGTGGGTGCAGTCAAACGTAATCTATCAGACCCCGATAATGCAGAGACACAGCTGTAGAGCACAATCCAGACATTTACAGAACAGCACCAGGAATACTGTGACACAGTCCGATGCATGGTGTTGCCAGCTCTCTCATTCCAATAAGGACCCAGTGACTTTGCAAGCTGCACTGACTATGGAAATACAAATACCCCTTTCCCAATCATTGCATGCCTGTGAGAGGGATGGCTTTGCTGGTTTAGTAGCTTAAGATGGTGCAGGAGCTGGCTTGCAACAAGTGATTTGGCAACCCCACAGCAAGGCAGTGAGATCCAGCCTGGGCACTGCATCTGCTGGTCATACCATAGGCTTGGTAAGTGGCTTGTATAGTACCCAGACTGATGTTCTTCCTCATCCTCACTCTGGATGAAAGGAAGTTTGACTCATGAAAGCTTATACTCCAAAAATTTTGTTGGCCTGTAAAGGTGCTACTGAACTTGGATCTAGCTTCTTGTATGGAGACCTAAAAGCAAATTCTGTGATTCAGAGAACACTTACCTGGAAATACACTCCACTAAAAAGAGGAGGACTTTCTGTTAAGTAAATAACTGGGTTGGGGTGTTATTTTTTGAAGAAATTCTAGAAGCAATCTGAAAGCACATGTTGGAGTTCTTTCCCACAGAAACTCATTGTCTGAGCTGGTTAACTGCCTTGATACGTGTCCATCTGGGAAGCATAATAGGAGCATATTAGGAACTATCTGGAGAAACTGCAGAACAAAGTGCACCAGATAAACCAGATGGAGGTCCAAGAGCCAAATTTAGTTTCCTGGGGGTCACTTTCCTCCCCTCAGATGCCAGGCCATTTTATTACTACAGGCCAATCCCACGCAGTTAGTATTGTGGGTAGGATGTAAAAGCTTGACTTCCTGGCTTGTGACATCAGAGCAAAGGCTTAGCACCTCACAGTCACCCTCACACTTAGTGTGGTTCACTTGAAGAACTTCTTACTAACCAGCACCAGGGCCCTCCACAAGTATCCCTTCTCCGCCTTCCTGCTCTACTAAAAATAATTGATTTAAAATTCATTCATATTTGCTGTGATATGGAGAAATAACTATGTTTTCATTTTATAACATTTTATAGTTGTTGAAGCTATGCCAACTAAAGAATCTTCAATCAATGGAGGAGGTAAGACTGCTTTATGAAAAGAACCCATCCCAAATGTTAGGCACTGATGCTATCTATCCCTATGAGTGTATTTCAGATGAGAAGCCATCCTGATATCATTGTCCTTGAACCCTGAACAACACACACAACAGACTAGGGCTGTGGTCACGCATACTAAATAGTCCACTTTCAGTGCACTTTCAGTGCACTTTCCAACTGGATTTTATTGTGTGAACTGGCAAAATCCAGTTGGAAAGTGCATTGAAAGTGGACTATTTAGTGTGTTTGACTGCTGCCTAGAATATATAAGTAAAGAAACCAAAGAAGAGGCAAAAGCCCCACCTGGCCTCACCCCACTTTGTGAAAACACTTGGTGAAAGCTAGGACCCCCGCACAAGTAGGGGTTTCCAGACACTGGCCCCACATGCTAGCAAGCTCTGTGTTCCTGAATCCCCTCACTAAGCTGCACCATGCCTTCAAATTTTCACAATTAGAATCCCTTTGGGTATTGTGCAACCTTAACTGAACCCTATAGCAGGCAAACGTTAGCAGCTTCACATCCCAATTACTCCTTGCCGGCCCAGTCGGGCTACATTGCAGATCCACTGTGTCATTGTCTTGCTCGTTCACACTGGTATCCGTAAATGACTTGCACCAGATTTTGCTTCTGCCACAACATTCCATAAATCTCATGTATCCATAGCATCTTCTGAGAGTCTGACAAGAAATGATAGCAGGAGCATTCTCCTTCACATACACGGAGAGAATAAGGATATCTTATATTTCTGGTGAAGGAAAAACAACTCAAGGATGTCTAAATGCTTAATATGTATGAAGCTTGGGGAGCAGTCTGCTGCAATATTTCAGGAAGTGGGTTGTCAGAGTTTTCCTTAGAAAGGACATTCTGTTTCCACTACAAGGTGTGTTAGAGTTCCTGCTGTACAAACCCAGTTCTGGCTCCATCCTTGATCTGTGTAGTTGGTTCTTTCCCTCAACCAGGTAACCATTTCCTTGCTTTTATAAGTTCCTTGCACACTGTGCTCAGGTACAAAGCATCCTTCAGTGATCTGTAAAGAGCAGACGGACACAGTTTCGACACAGTAGCAATCACTGAAGGGATCTGCATGATGACATGTGTGACGGTGCATTTTGAATTTCTCCCCTCAGCAAAACAAGAAGATTCTTCTCCATCAGCACATGGCATGGTTGCAATGGCAGTTGTTCTTGTTCTCCTCATCGTCACCGCCGCTGGCATTGCAGGCTATGTTTTTTACAGGAAAAGACGTCGGCAGCAAGTGACCGTTGCTGGGTTTGACAACTCTGTGTATCATGACGATGTGGTTATGCTTCAGAATAAGGACTCACAATATCTTGTGGAAAATGTTGATAATAAGCAGGGACAGTAGCTACCTATCCTCTACTTAACGAACTGAACAGATTAATAGAAGTAACACCTTGAATACCACTGTTCTAAGCAGAAATATGTGGAAGTTCATGCCTGATGATGATACAGAATGTTTTTGATAAATGCTGCTGATTCAGTGAAAATATATTCTGTAATGCACACTTTCCAATTAAAGATCTAAGCTAAGAGCCTAACAACTTCATGTTTAATGAGGGAAGCAGAGAAGGGAGACTGAATTCAGCACTCCCCTCCATTCTTCCACCTAAACAGCCAATCGGGGCTGCTTTGGGGGTGGGGGACTGGAAAAGAACAGTCTGGGGCTGTAGCTCCCCCTGAGGACTAGAGGGGACTGGCAAGGCATCACTGTTATAGTTTTGGTATAACAGAACACACTCTAGTGTCCTAGATGACATGCATGTGTCACAGCAGAATACTGCACCTTAGTCAGATCAAGGGCTACTTGAGTGGACCCTTCAATGAAATAAAAGGGATTTTTCTCTTTCTCAGCATGATTCTGTCATGACAAGGAATCTTTGAGACTCCCACAGCCAATGGGGAGGCCATGACAGGATGGTCACCACTGGGGACACGGCACAGATGATGACTTATCCTGGAAGACAGGTGGTGGCCCAGAGCCCTGAGACCAACAGGCAGCCCTGTAGGTGGGAGGGTTGCAGTTCCTCGGGCGAGGAGACTGACACCCGGATGAGAAGAGTGGATGGGGGTCCATTGTGAGGAGGGGGGTTAAATGCTCCCCGGTTGGGGGGGTGGCTCATTTGCAAAGAGAATTATACCTGGATGGTGTTGAGTCGCCATTGTAGGCAGGCAGTGATCCAGAGCCCTGAGACCACCTCAGGCTGGAATCCAGTCGCCTTTGGGGGACAGATTTGGGGGTGAGATATGGTGGGACTCAGGATGGAACCTTACAGCCAACAGTCTTTAAGGGTCAAGCAGGCAAATGATCCCCTTGAGGCATACGGGTCACATGGGCAACTGTGCTGGTGCCATTCCGTGACCAATGTGATTCTTGGAGGGGGGGAAGAAATGTTCAGAAGGTGGAACTGACAGGGGGAAAGGGCAACGTCAGTGACTGTTGGGGGGAGCGAACTCTTGAGGAAAGGTTGTTAAAGGACAATGGCAAGGGGGCTGCATACCAACAACAGTGAGAGAACATCTGCTTGGCATTGGCAGGAAGGTACCTGTTATGTATGCAGCCGCCACACGGCGGCCACAAGAAAAGACAGGAGCTTGGCTCCAGAAAGACAATGGGACCTAGGATCCTAGTCCCCCCCCCCCAGCTGACCAATGGGCTTCTTGGCGGGAAATTCAAACCCTCCAATGGAGTGGGAGGCCAGGGATGGGAGTGTATATAGTTGGCCTTGCAGGGTCGTTGTGTGTCTTATGTTAAGTACGGAATAAACGTGTGCAAGCGCATGTTGTCATCCGAGTCCTCCATGCGGCGAACCCAGTACTTTTCAGTGGCGACGAAGGTGGGATTCCGCTGAGTCTGGCCTGGCTCGCACCAGCGCATGCTAAGCTCCGTTCCTGCAGCACCGTGCTCTGCATCGCGCACCAGCCGCACCGCACCGCGCACCGCTACAAGGAACCGCAGCACCGCGCTATCGCTACGCCATGGCCTCCAACCGAGGGAATCTGGAGATCTTCTATCCCACCCACCCCGAACTCTGGGACTCGTGGACCGACCAGCTAACATGCCACCTCGAGTACAACGAGGTCACCGATGCCGGCAAGAGACGAGCGCTGCTCCTGAGCTCCTGCGGAGTGACGACGGTCCGTCTCGCCAAAAGTCTCCTCGCGCCCAAATCCATTCTGGAGTGCACCTACGAGGAGATCATCGAGGCCCTCACCCGGTACCTCACGCCGCGGCCGACAACGCTTGCCAGGCGGCTGGCTTTCCAGAGCCGCACACAGAAACCTGGCTGCAGCCTTCATGGCCGCCCTGCGCCAGCTGGCTATGGACTGCTCCTTCACCAAGGTGGAGGAGAACCTGCTGACACAGTTCGCGTGGGGCCTCAGTGACCTCAAACTGCAGAGGAAGATGGTCGGGACCGCCGACATCAAGCTAGAGGCGGCCCTTCAACTCGCCATCGCACACGAGGACTCCCATCGCCCATCTTCAGCAGCGCACCAAGTCCTCCCCGACGGAGACACCGAGGACTCCGAGGAAGAAGACGTCCGCCTCGTCCGACAGCCACCACGCCGCCAGCCACCGGCCACAGGCAACCCGGGACACAAGCCCGCCGGCCGTTCCACATGCGCCAGCTGCGGCGAAGAACACGAGCGCCGGTCCTGCAGGTTCCGTGACGCGACGTGCCACACTTGCGGAAAGCAGGGACACCTCGCACGCATCTGCCGCTCCAAGGGAAGCAGGCGCCAACAAGCTCCGGTGCAACTACGCCGTCCGTCTGCCACCACGCACGGGACATCCGCAGATACAGCAGAACTCTACCTCCTCACCGACCAGCCGTCCCAACAGGTACTGTGCCTCCCGAATTCCACAGGCGCCCCGAAAACCCAGCTGACCGTCCAGATAGACGGGGCCCCCTGCCAAATGGAGGTGGACTCGGGGTCAGTGGCGTCCATAATTTCTGTGGAAATGCTACGCCTGCTGTGCCCTAAGGGGGGCCCCGATTACGCCCCTCACACCTTAGCCTAGTGGACTTTCAAAGGAACCCGGTTCCCATCAGGGGGGTGGGGACTTTCAGGGTGAAGTTCAGAGGGTTTTCGGGACTATTGGACCTGGTGGTGGTCGAGGGGAACCTGGTTAGCCTGCTGGGCAGGGCCTGGTTCGAACCGCTGGGCATCACGGTCGGGGTCAGGGGAGTACACAGCTGTGCCCCGAGAGACTATGGGGAAATTTGCAAAGAGTTCCCAGCCGTGTTCGACAGGGCCCTGGGTTGCTACAAGGGGCCCCCTGTTTCCCTGCAGTTGGACCCCTCCGTGGCCCCCATCCGCATGCGTTACCGCACGGCTCCCTTCTCCATTCGGCCAAAGATTGATGTGGAGCTGGACAAGCTGGTGACACAGGGGGTCCTGGAGACCGTCCCACACGCAATTTGGGAAACCCCGATAGTAACCCCCCTGAAGCCCAACGGAGAGATCCGTATCTGCGCAGATTACAAGTGCACAATTAATAAGGCACTGCATGACCATTCCTACCCCGTCCCTGTCATGAGTCATGTCCTGGCCACACTGGCGGGAGCGTCCATCTTTGGAAAGCTGGACCTGGCTCAGGCCTATCAGCAGCTGCCGGTCGATGAGGCAACCGCCACGGCACAGACTATAGTCACCCACAGGGGGGCGTTCAGGGTGAAGAGGTTGCAATTCGGGGTGAGCGTGGCACCAGGGATTTTCCAGCAACTTATGGACTCTCTATTGAAAGGGATTCCTGGAGTGATGCCATTTTTCGATGACGTCCTGATCGCCGCGGCGTCCCCCGAAGACTTCGCCTCCCGCCTCCGAACCATCCTGCAGCGTTTCGACTCGGCTGGCCTCAAGGTGAAGCACGAGAAATGCCTCCTCGGGGTCTCGGAGGTGAACTTCCTGGGGTTCCGGATGGACGCATCCGGCCTGCACCCGGCTAAGGACAAGGTGAAGGCCATCGTGGAAGCACCTGCCCCCACGTGTAAGGCAGAACTACAGGCGTTCCTTGGACTTTAAAATTTTTATCACCCCTTTTTGCCCCACAAAGCGGCAGTGGCGGAACCCCTACACCGGCTCCTGGATAAGTCGGCACAGTGGGCATGGGGCGCGAGGGAGGCGGCAGCTTTCAAGGGCGTGAAGGCACTCTTGATTTCTAACGACGTGCTGGCCCATTTCGACGAGTTGCTTCCCGTGGTCCTTGCGTGCGACGCCTCCCCGTATGGCGTCGGCGCCGTCCTGGGCCACGTCCTCCCCGACGACCGCGAGGTTCCCGTGGCCTATTACTCCCAGACTCTGACGGCAGCTGAGCGCAACTATGCGCAGATCGACCGCAAGGGGCTGGCGATCGTGGCGGGGGTAAAAAAGTTTCACAATTTTATCTACGGCTGCCCCTTCACAATTGCCACTGATCACAAGCCCCTCCTGGGACTGCTGGCATCTGACAAAAGAACGCCCCAGGTGATGTCTCCGCGGGTGCCCCAGTGGTCCCTCTTCCTAGCCGGCTATCAGTACTACTTGGAGCACCGGCCGGGCAAGGCTATGGGCCACGC